ATTTTAATTAAAAGAAATGGAATGTTGCTTCTCATCACCAACACTAGTGAAATTACAGAGGCAAAAAAAGGAAAAACATCTTTATGAGCTTAGGTCCAGCATGGCTGGAACATATGGCATAAATGCAAAAATAATGACAAAAGATTTTTTAAAGTGAGTTCAGGGCCTGGTGTGGTGGCTCACGCCTGTAATCCTAGCATTCTGGGAGGCCGAGGCAGGAGGATAGCTCGAGGCCAGGAGTTCAAGACCAGCCTGAGCAAGAGCAAGACCTCATTTCTACTAAAAATAAAAAAATTAGCTGGGCAACTAAAAAATAGAAACAAAAAACTAGCCAGGTGTGGTGGCAAGTACCTGTAGTCCCGGCTACTCGGGAGGCTGAGGCAGGAGGATCGCTTGAGCCCAGGAGTCTGAGGTTGCTATGAGCTAGGCTGACACCACGGCACTCTAGCCCAGGCAACAGAGTGAGACTCTATCAATCAATCAATCAATCAATCAATAGTGAGCTGGGATCTTGATGGGCAATGTCATGAATACTAGGCTAATGACTTGGTAAGCATTGGGAAGTTACAGCTTTAAGTAAGTGAATAAAACAGAACTACACTTTGGAAATATTAATCTAATAATGATATACAGCACAGCTTAGACAGGATGAGGCCAGAAGCAAAGATGTGCAGTTAGTTAAACCATGGCCACACTGTTTACTTAAATACGTGAAATAATTTAGATAAACCTCAGGGAAAATATGTCACTGAATCTTTGAACCAGTTTAAAGTAAAATATCTTGGTGTTCCTGACTCCTTCTCATTAATTTGGACTCCACTTTATTTACTGACAATAAAATTCTAGATACACAAATATCTGAAATGGGAGAATTAAGACACAAAGAGCAAAGAATAACATGATTTATGTTAAAAGAGACTGAGAAAACGGGATATAAGAACCAACTGAAAAAGCTCCCCATAGTCAAAACTGGAACAATTTAAGCAAAAAAAAATAAATAAATAAAGGTAGTATTAGATTATAACCCAAAGTGTAAAATTAATATGTATTTGAGTTCATATTGATAGAAATGGTTGAATAAAATTTGAAATTCGAAAATGTGTGCGGAAGGCAGGAAAAATTGGGAATTTTGAGAGCAAAGAAGTAGCAGGAGGATGTCTGCATGGGAGAAGAGACAGAACTCCAAATACTTATTTAGATACTCCTCTCTCAGGGATATCAATGTAATTCCCCATCCCTTAAGAGTAAATTTGCACAGTGACTTCCTTCCAAAAATTACAGGGTTAAGGGGGGCAGGAGAGTAACCATGTAATGGAGAGACTGGGCAGAACCACTTCAGGCGGGCTATCAAAGTCAGCACCATCAGTGGTAAGTCACACTGACAGTTCACACCCGATACCACGCGGTGCGGATGGCACTTCACCTTGCGGTCTTCCTGCCCACGCTCCAGTCTAACCATGAGAAACACGCCAGACAAACCTAAGTTGAAACACATCCTTCAAAATACCTGGCCAGTACTCCTCAAATTGTCAAAGCCATCAAAAGCAAGGAAAGTCTGAGAAACTGTCGCAGTTTAGAGGAACCTAAGGAAATATGATGACGAAATGTAACGTGGTATCCTGGATGGGAACCTGGAACAGAAAAAGGACATTAGGTGAAAACTGAGGATTCTGAATAAAGTATGGACTTTGATGGATAATAATGGATCAATATTGGGTCTTTAGTTGGGACAAACCTACCATAGTAATGTTAGATGTTAACCAACCGGGAGACTGGTTACAGGATATATGAGAACTCTCTGTGCTTTCTTTGCAATCTTTCTGTAAATCTAAAATGACTGCAAATAAAGGTTTATTAAAAATAAAAAAAGGAGATTGAGAAAATACAAAACTGTTCTTTGTGTGTCCTTTACAGGTGAAGAGCTCTTTTTGAAGTGACCAAATCGGCAGAAACATCTTCAGCTTCAGTACTGCACCATCTCTCGCAACTGAAATAGGATGGATGTGTTTAATTACAATTGACGGCAATGACAAATCAAAGTTCTCACTTATTTTAAAAGAATACTGTCCCTGAGTTTTGCTAAACAGTCCAGCTCAGTTTCTCCTTGCTTTTATATTATCAAATTTCCTGGCTTATAAATTTTTAAAATTACATTTAAAATATAAACCAAACAAAAGATTTTACTAAAAAGATTCTTTATGCTCCTTCGCTCTCACTAAAAGGTCTTTGTCATTAGTTCATTCCGAGGGTCAAACTCATAATTTTGTTCTCATCCTTGGTTTTTTAGCAGGAGATCTTGCTTCACAGCACTCAGCTGTCTTTCGTCTAAGAACTTTAGGTGAGGAAGGAAGAAAAAGGCTACCGATAACTATTCCAAGACAGTTACGGTACATTTAGCCAACACACTTTTGCTCCTTTTCATGCTGTCTGTTAAGTGTTATTCATGCTGATCAAGCAAGACTTTAGGCAAAGAACACATTCGGCCTTGCTTCCCAGCTGCTTACCTGCGGGATTTGTTTATTGTGTTGTTGATTTTCTTTCCCTTTCAAATATGAACTATAAGAGCAAGTAATAAAAATTCAATTATCAAATTCAATATGACTCAGTTTTGGTTAAATATTGATGGATCAATGTGTGAAACAATTTTTTTCACATTTCCTCTCCTATTCGATCCATTAGCAACATCTTGCCCTGATGAAAATCCCACTTCCTAATTTCCCCTAGTTCTCCTCCGGCACTTCTGAGTCCATTTCACTTTGCGGGGCTGGGGGAAGGAGAGACAAAACTATCTACCTTATGGATTTCTTGTGACATTTCAGTGAGACAAGATGTCAAAGCACCTGGAACTTAGGAGGCACTCAACAAACTCGAGTATTCTGCTCGTTCCTTTACTTGCCATATAGATGTGGGTGCTTTGTGGGGTTCTTGTTGGGTCCGCTCTTTTCACATCTCGTGTTCTTCTTAGATAGCATCGTCTACTCCCATGGCTTCAACCGCCTTCTACATGCCAAAGAGGACTCCAAAATCTGTATTTCCAGTTCCTCTCTTACCACTGATCTTAAGAATGTCTCTCTGCCTACTAAACACATCCATCCGGATGTCCCCTAGACCTTCTCTACCCAACAGGTCCAATGATATTGTTGACTCATTTGTTCAAGGTGATAAATCCAGGTATCAGTGATCCCCGAATGGTCTCATCACATCCTTCTCCTTTCCCCCCATATCCAGACATCAACTTCTGTCACCTAAACTCCATTTGAAACCCTCAGTGGGTGATCTCTTTTGTTTTTTACTATATCCTCCTTGCCGACAACAATGCCTGAGACCTAGTAGGTACCTACTCAAATCATTTATTGAATGATTATGACTGTAGTCCAAACCATCATTATCTCTTTGGCAAATCATGTTTATAGCCTCTAAACTAGTCTCCCTGCCTCTGGAAACTCCAGTTCCACTTGCCTTCTCTCCAGTCCATTCTCTACACTGCCTTCCATGAGTTAAATTGTGAATTTTCTAAAAAAAAACAGATCCCAACATTTTCCTTGGTCCTTCGCACATGGTAGCCTCAATTTACCTTGTTAGCCCACTCTCCTACCACTTCTTCACTCTCGAAATTTCCACTTTTCCTTGCCTTCAACATGCATACTTTTTTAAAATTTCAAATTGCAATTACTTGTTGCTGATATGTAGAAAAGCAATTGACTTTTGTATATTAGCCTTGTATCCTGCAACCGTGCCATAATTGCTTATTAGTTCCGGGAGTTTGTTTTTGGTTTTGTTGTTGATTCCTGGGGGTTTTCTATATAGACGATTATGTCAACTTTGAACAAGGACAATTACGATTCCAGTTTGGTTCTGCTGTCGGGATGGCAGCACTGGGGTCTGGGGTCTGATTAGGATCTTCGCCATGGAGATGCTGTGCCTCCTCCTTGGCCTGGTCCATCACGAGTCTATGCTCATCTGCAGTGAGTAAGATATTTGGTAAGGTCTGTACATCCGTGCAACTGGGACAGTACATTGCAAAGATGGTTGTAAACAATTCCGTCATTCTCTGGGGGTCCTTTCTATACGTTGGGTTTGAGTTTTTCCAATTCAATAAATCCAAGGTGGAAAATGGGGTGTGAGTCCAATACCCTGCTGGCTGTCTTTGAACATTCAGGCCTCCTATGGGGTACTGTCAAATTGGAAATTGCCCTGCTCCAGCTACAGATGCCCTCTGGCTGAATTGAGTTCCCTGCTGGGTCTTGGAGGAGGAGACCATTCCCATTCCTGAGTCATAACCCAGGGCACGTAGGAATGAGGAATTGGCGCCAGCCCTGCCCTTCCCGACCATGGGCCCTTCCACCAGTGGTGGATGGTATGGGGGGAGGTTCGGAGAAGTTCGGATTGAAAGGGTTCATGAGATTGAACCTGGCTGATTCCTCCTTGATTCTGTCATCCAGAGTCCGGCTCCCCTCCCCAACTACGGGCGGAGGTTTCCTTAGTATCATTAGCTTTGTCCCAGGCCTTTTGGGCCTTTATTATGCAATTTCATAAGAGACTGTACGTATGGTATGTCGTCCCATTTACCTGACTTTTGACAAAATAATTCCAGTTGTAAGACAATATAATAATTTAAGCTTCCATTCAATGGCCACTTCTCCTTGCACCCCAACACATATGTTGGCCAGGCAGTATTAAAATAATACATCATTCTTTTTTCAGACAAGTTTGTGGCTATAAGTTGACCAGCCAAAATTCTTTCCAAGGGACTTTCAGGTAGTACAGAAACAGAGCCTCCTATGTTAAGGCAAAACTCAGAAACAATCAAACACAAACAATATAGAGAATTCCTAACACTCTAAAATGCCAAGCCCTGTCAATCAAATGGGAATCCAAAGGGGACAAATCCCACCCCAAATGGTGCCTCCAAACAAATGCCCTGCTGCAGGGCTGGAAGGTTCCAAACCCTCCCCAAATGGGTGGAATCGAGAGTCTTGGCGTGCATGCCGAGGAACTTACTCAGAAAAATGGCTGAGGCTGTCTGGATGTTTCTAGATCCATTTCCTTCTCCTCGGCAAAGTTCAGGTAGCTATGAGCTGTGTCTGATTCTGGGGAGGGAGAGAAAGAAGCTCCTCTGGGGTTAAACAGGCTCCAGCATCTGCTGGGGCTGTTCCTCTCTCTCTCACCTGAAAAGAAAAGACGATGCTTCTCCCAGCAGAGACCCACGGCTTGACCTGGGGCTGCTTCCTCCCTCTTCCAGCTGTGGCTGCAGTCATGGGGTGCCGTTCCGCTGGGGTGCCAATGGGTCCACCAAGGGACACCAAATTCTGTAACCGAAGCTTGGCATTTGTCCCTGAAGCCGCATCAGAAGAACGAGGATAAGTGGTTTGAGGAGAAGGAAAGAGAAGTTTGTTAATTTGCCAGCAAACGAGGAGGTTGGCAGACTCCCATCTTAAAGTACCAATGTTCTGCCTCTAAGCAGAAATACAAAGCTTTTAAAGGCGGGGGTTTCAGCTTCAGGCTACTGCTGCTCAACTATAGTAGATGGCTCCAATTCATCCCACCTTCAGCTAAGACAATCTCATGCGCTAAGACAATCTCATGAGTGACCCTCACGATACAATTCTCTTGAGCCATCTCCTGTGGTCAAAAAACAAAGGATATTCCCCTGCCCCTTCCGACCACTGGCCTAGGGCAAAGATGCAGGTTTTAATTTCCAAAAAGGACACTCCCCTGCCCTCCTGACCACTGGCCTGAAGCAGGGATGCAGGTTTTAATTCCCAAAAGGAGTAGGGGAGGTTTTAGAGAGACGGAAACATTTTTACCCTTTTTCAGGCCATTCCCCTGGTGACATGCTGAATTGAAGGAAAAAGGAACAAGACATTCTTCACTAATTAAAAACAAAGTACTACTTTTATTTGGCTCATTTCTCCATTTATTAGAATAACCACGTTTGGAGAGGCACAAAGCACTTAAGTTTTACATGACTACAAAGTTATCACAAATCCCAAACTTTTTAGCCACAGATATTTCACCTACTCTGTTTAAAGAAAAAGCTTTCAAAACGTCTGAGTTAGCTTAATACACAGAGACCCTGAATATATTGGAACTAAGTATTTTAAAATGCTTGTACTTTCTGCTCTAATAATGTCTTCTTTAAATGGAATCCAGCATAAAAGGGATTGAAATACATGATGCAAATGCTTTTGAGAGCGAGTGAAATTAATCTGCACAACATGGAAAAAGATGTAGTGTGCACAGAAGTTCTGCAAGGATTCACTGAGCCATCTGGGCTTCCATGGCTTGTGCTGTCCATTCTGGTGCTGTTTGACTAATTTTCTCCAAAAGGTTATTCACTTGGAAACAAAGTGATTGGATCTGCTTGTCCCATGTCGGTAGGGCTTCTCGTGCTAAAGAAAAAAGAAAATAACATACAAAATTGCAATTACTCCTTTGGGTTCATAGCAAATGTGAGTGAAAAGATAAATAAAGTAGTTATCATTTTTTTTTAAAGTTTACTCTAAAAATCTTGGCTAATAAAATTAAGCTAATTAAGCAATAGTTAAGAAAAGTACCCAAATCACTGGCACAAAGTATAAAAACAAAAAAATATATGCAGATACATATTATTATTATTAGTGAAAACAAAATAAAACCAAGCAGCCAAACAACCTTCACCACAACTGCAACAGAAAAAGACAGCCTCACTGAAGCTGGATTTTTCATCAGTAACGTTTACTGATTCATGGACACTGCCACCTACTGGGGAAAGCAAGTGTATTGATATATTCAAGGCTGTCTCTATTTGACTCTGAAGGATAAATATTATAACATTTAAACAAACAAAAAAGTCATCTTGAATCCACCAGGTTTTTCTATATACCAGCAATATGAAGTTAGAAATTAAAAATTGAGGGGAATGCCTCATTCAAGACAGCACCAAAATTTACAAAAAAGTGCACAGATTTAATGTACCTTTTAATGAAAAAAAAAATCTATAAAATATTAACACAGCCCATAAAATAACTTGAGTAGACACAAATCGGATTCCCAGGTAGAAGTATGCAATAATATAAAAATATCAGTTCTTCCTCCTTAAATATAACTTTAAGGAAATTCCAAAGATAACCCTTTTTTTCTATTTTGCTTTTTAACCAGGACAAAATTATTAAAGTTATAAGGAAGAATTGGTATTTGAGAATAGCCAAGGTAATTCTGCAAATGAAAAACAGCGGTGGAACTGTGGTCTATACGTACAATGGAATACCATTCGCCCTTAAAAAGGGATGAAGTACATGCAGTCGCATGTCAGACACGAATGAACCCCCAAAATACTACTGAGTATTTTAAGTGAAATAAGCTGAAAAGTCACATATTGTATGATTCCATTTATACGAAATATCCAGAATAGGTAAATCCATAGAGACAAAAGGCAGATGGGTAGTTGCCAGGGGCTGAGGGGAGGGAGGAATGGGGAGTAACTGCTTAAAGGTCGTGGGTCTCCTTTTGTGGTGATGAAAATGTTCTGGAACTACGTAGAGATGGAGCTTCCACAACATTGTGAATATACTACATGCCGCTGAATTGTTTCTTCAAAATGGTTAATTTTATGTTATATAAATTTCAATTCAATTAAAAAAATAGTAGTGGAGAACAGAAGTTGCTTTACCAACACTAAAATTTAGAATAAATTTTTTTATTATCATATTGTTACAGATCAGTAGGACCAAGTGGAATACAGAAATAGATGCAAACATATATGTGGAACCTAACATATGTCAATGATCACAATTTTAACAGAAAGGGTATTTTATTTAATGAATGATACTTGCATAATTGGCTATTCATCTAGAAAAACACTAAACCATACCCTAAAATTATCCACAAAAATGAACTGTAGATGGATTAACTTTCTGAATACAAAATAATAAATAATAACATTAGAAAACATTTTAGGAATATCATATTGTTACAGATCAGTAGGACCAAGTGGAATACAGAAATAGATGCAAACATATAAGTGGAACCTAACATATGTCAATGATCACAATTTTAACAGAAAGGGTATTTTATTTAATGAATGATACTTGCATAATTGGCTATTCATCTAGAAAA